TCACTATGTCCCCAGAGTAGTTATATATTTTACAGATCAATATTTTGTAATGAAAGAGGCTGGCGAGTGAAACCGAGCTATATGGTTCGACTTGCAGTGATGGATGTGTGTACCGCGCTAAGCTGTAGTGCGTTATGACAAATTAATGGTCACAGGAAGTCATCGTCGTCTGGCCAGTTGCGGTTTCTAGTCAGTCCTGAGGCGCTTAACACCTTTTAATGGTTTGACCTGTTTTTGTATGTGGTTTTCTGCAGAGTCATGCACTGTTTCCTGCTTGCACACTGGCCTGTTTGTCTTTGGCTATAGTTAATTTCATAGCTTTTGTTTGTAACATCATGATATATTCCTATCTGCTTCATATCAGTGTATTCTGATAAGCTGTCTACAGGCTGCAGCTCACTTGGTAGATTTATTAAGACATCTCAAACTGTTTGTCAGTTGTGCTTTGGGTCCTTCCTGATGCAGTTCTGTGATGTAATCATCGAGTCCTTTACAGACTCATGCTGCAGCTGATTGATTAAGCATCGCTGGTGTCTGTAAATGGCCTCATTGTAATCAACCGGTTTGTTTGAATACTGTTTAGGAAACACTGATCCTTTCAAGACGCCCTGTGAAGAGACACAGATCAATACTTTGATTGAGAGTTGACTAGGGTTATTATCGCAAATGAAAACAACGGTGCAACTTTTGTGTTTGTTGTTGTTCTTAGTGTTAATAAAAGCATACAAAACTACACAGAATTACATAAAACATTATATAATTATATATAATATATATAATTATATAATATATTAATGATATTGATACATTTATTTTGTTAGATTTTTCCGTTTTTTATGTTTCTTACACTCACCAAGGCTGCATTTATTTGAAAATGCAGTAATACAGTAATATTGTGAAATATTGAAATATTATTACAACTTTACACATTGTATTTTAATATATTTTAAAATGTAGTTTTTAGTGTCACATGATCCTTAAGAAATCATTCTAATATTCTGATCTATCTATCTATCTATCTATCTATCTATCTATCTATCTATAATATTCTGATTATCCATCCATCCATCCATCTATCATATTCTATCTATCATATTCTGATTATCTATCTATCTATCATATTCTGATTATCTATCTATCTATCTATCTATTGGAGGTGTAACAGTTCACAAAATACACGATTCGGTTTGATACGATACAGTGGTGTCACGGTTCGGTACGTTCGGTACAGGGGTAACTGGTTACGTCGCAATGTTGGAAATATTGTATATTAAACCATGAAGGCGAACGAATGGATATCACATAAGCAACGTGCAAACTTCGCGCAAGAGTTATGCCAGTTAACGTCTTAATCTCAGTCAATTCACTATGCAGAAAGTGAAAGTAAAAACGGAATGACGGATGTAATGACGGAGCTTTCGGCATCTGACGCCGAATATTCTCTCAGAGACGATGAGAGACGAACATATTTCTACTTCAACATATCATATGCTGATAACGGTATATAGCTAACTTTTTTTTATTCCCTTAACATTTCTCTTGTGGCCCGTAGCCTACATAGTGAAAAATAAAGACAAGAAACGTATTTTGCGTTAAACAGGTTGTTTTTGAAAGTCGGTGCATGAAATAGGCTAAAGCTTTTTATTCATGGATTTTTATTGATGACTGCTGAGTTAATATTTTAATTATAGGTCTATATAATTCATTGTATATAGACCTGCTTTAAAAGACATTGTTTAAAAAAAATTTAATTGAAGAGTAAATGGCCTAATCCTTTGTTATCCTCACAGTGCGTTAGTTATGCTGTAATATTGCGGGGCAAATTAATTGTAATTTTAATTTAATAATAAAAGTAACTTCATAATAATAATAATAGGCCTAATAAAAGTAAGAATGTAACAGGCCTACATTAATTGGAAATGCCAGATCCTCTTAATAGTGCCAATAATTTATGTTTTTGACAATATCTCTGGCTATCGTCGATACAAGATCATCATCTTTCAACGCACCCCAGCAAGGGGAGGTTATCGCGGGGCCGCTGGGCAGACAGCACGGTGCCTGTTACGTCGTTTGGGCTGCATTGTTGAGCGCAGTGGCACTGAGAACATTATATTTCACACACTTTAAGCTCTTTTATTTACCAAATGTAATTGGATTTGTCCAACAAATCGTTCGGTTTGTAATGCGTACCGAACCGAAAGCCTCGTACTGAACGGTTCAATACGAATACATGTATCGTTACAGCCCTACTATCTATTGTAGCGTCTGGACCAATCAAACACACAATATATATTTTGTTAGCTATATTTAACAAATACTCTGTAACACCCCTCAGTTAACAAGCCATATGAGGACCTATGGACCCTTCCCCCGAAATGCGTAACACCCCAGGAAAGCCGAACAGGCCCCTGGTCCCCATGGCAACTAATGCTGATAGCACTAGTTTTATTGCTCAAAGGAATGCAAAAGAAAAATCACTACCTTTCCATAGGAAGAGACACAATGCACAGTAGAAATTGACTTTTCTCTAATTAATTCATAGGAAAACCTTTCTTTGAATGAACACACATAAATACGGTAATAATACTGTAAATAAAATACAGTAAAGACATTGTACTGTAAATGCAATTACAGTACTGATACTGTAAATGAAAATACGGTAATAATACTGTAAATAAAATACAGTAAAGACATTGTACTGTAAATGCAATTACAGTACTAATACTGTAAACATTTTTACAGTAAATTACTGGCATCCAGCTGCCAGTAAGTTACTGTAAAATTTACAGCAACCTATTTACAGTGCATGAATACTGAGAGCAACTTGTATTATACCAGTTCTGTAGGTTTTTCAGAACTATAATTTTCTTGGTTTCGAGTCTTTTCGTCAAGGCCATGCCCTCATGTACAGTACAGTTTCAAAACCACACCTGCACCTTCTCCAATGGAAGTCCCCAAACACAACAGCCTGTGTTTTATATAGCCGTGCTGACGTGGCATGTTTTCTTATAGTTTGTGAACATAAATTCATTTATCAAAGCCTGCTTAGGAACAACATTTTAGCTTGCCACTTCTCACCCTAGAGTTCAATGCATTGGGAAACATTGACACGAATCGTGCGAAAAGGGCCGTAGGCTTTGCTGTCTGTCTAAAACAAGGCCTGTGGGCTTTATGGTGGGATGTGAGGTGCCAAACAGTCTCAATGACCTGCCGCTGCGACTGTTTATGAAGGACACAGTCCAGCTCTGTGGGACTCAATGTGTGAATGTCTTCCCCTACGGGCCTGCGGTTGATGTCAGAGGACAGGGTGTTAGTGGAAGCTCCCTTTGGTTGCTGATTTGATGCTGGTGTTGTGGTTTATTGCATAATAGACTGGTTAGGCATAATAGTCAGGTTAGACTTCATAGGAACTTAACGGTGATGAAAACGAGGCTGTGAGGAATAGACGTATTTATAATGGCATGCACTGTAAGAAGGACCTAGATCACGTAATTTTCGCCAACACACAACTTTAAAAACTAAGGAGTTAAGGAGTTTTTGTTTTACTGAAAGTTTATTTTTTTCATCAGCTGACCCATTGAACACACTGTAGTTCCCTCCTTCACAGCCTTGTTTTCATTTCTGTCAAAAGTGAAATATGGCGCTTCAGATTATGATTAAATAGTTACATTTTGTGACCATTTTTACTGTCGATGTGAATAGAGGTCTACAAAAATGCCCCACTGAAATACAAAACATGAAATGTAGAGGCAAATTTAAATATTTTCACAATAATATAAATAATAGGAATTAAAGGCTTGGATCTGGGCATAATGGTGCCATATCTGCTGATATTAGAATTTTTTTTAATTATTTAATAATATACAATTGTGCAATACTAATTTCCTATACTAGTACATTTGACTTTTTTTCCATCATGTAGTGCTCAAATGAAGAAAATCTTTTTAATAATACTCTTATGTTATTAAAATTTGTAATGTAATCTTTAGCAAATCTCAAAATGAATATCCAATGTACATTAGGATTTAGTGAAGCATAAATTCACCTGATTTTCATTTTAAGTGTTTTATTTTTTAATGTAGATTACAAGTTGTTTTTTATTAAATACATTTTTTCGATTTTAGATTTTTTTTATTAAAATTAATAATAGTTTTATTCAGCAAGGATGCAGTAAATTGCTCAAAAGTGACAGCAAAGACATTTATAATATTACAAAATATTCAAATTCTGTTCTTTTGAAATGTATATTCATCAAACAATCCTGAAACAAATCGCAGTTTCCACAAAATTATTAATCACCACAACTGGTTGTAACAATGATAATAATAAGAAATGTTTTTTGAGCAGCAAATTAAAATGATTTCTGAAGGATAATGTTACTCTGAACACTGAAGTAATGATGTTGAAAATTCAGCTTTGACATCACAGGAATAAATTACATTTTAAAATATATTAAAATAGAAAACAGTCATTTTAAATTGTAATAACTTTTAACATATTACTATTTGTACGGTATTCTTGATCAAATAAATGCAGCCTTGGTGAGCATAAGAGACTTCTTTCAAAAACAAAAAAAATCTCACCAGCCTCAAATAATATAGAATTTTTAATATCAGCCATTTATGCATTATTGGACTGTAAAACTCATATGTTAGTCTGAAGCTCTTATGACGCAGGTAAGATACGCGTGACTGACCCCAGGCTAAGAAAACTGAATGTTTGTTTGCTGATTCCAGCCTAACATGAGCCTTATGTAGCTGCCGATGTTATAATGGCATTGATGTATGTGTTTGTAAAGTATAAGTTCAAGTTAAAAAAGCTTTGTGTCAACGAAGTTACTAAAAGCCAAGCTAATGCATAGAAACTTAACATGTTTCGCAGGATTATGGCATTGGCAGTTATCAGACTGCTGCATCACTGTCACAGCTCATTCCACTGCCTTTACTGGCTTATTGCTGCTTCAAGAGTTCTGACAATGCTGTTTCCTTCTTCCTCTCCAGGATTTAAGTGTCCTGTCTGCTCCAAATCAGTGGCATCCAATGAGATGGAGGTTCACTTCATCATGTGTCTGAGCAAGCCCCGCCTCTCCTACAACGGTAAGACACGCCCCCACTGTCCCCACCCACTGTTATTCCCGCAAACTTCAGAGGTATCAACTCAGTATCTTTCCTCTCCACTATTTTCCTTCTTTTTTGAGTCACTGTATCAGTTTATCCTTTCATTCTCCATTTCATTCTTTTCTGTGAATCCATTCTGGGGCTGAAAAGAGTCTGTGAACTGTAGATGACCCCTTAATCTAGGTCTTTCTCTCTCTCTCTTTCTGTTTTGCCGTGGGAAACCAAGGTCATCACTGTATATGACGTTTGTCACCCATTTCTTGCTTTCTCTTTTTTCTTCTAAAGAGTTTCAAGGCATCTGTAGGCTGTCGAATTACAGTCATTTTTTCAAAATATTCCTCTATGGATTTCTACTCCAGCCATGTTTGATATCACTGCTCATATTGTCCTAAAGATATTACTGAATTTGTATCGCATTAAAGTTCCGTAATATGATGGATATCTGAGTAAAACAGAATGTTCAGTGGGAAATAAATAGGGCAATATTTTATTGGGTTTTCATTGAATCCTTTCCTCAATCATGCCAATGTTAAATGTAAGGGTGTATTAAATATGAAATATTAATATTATTCTTCCCATGGTTACATCAGATAAAAGGTTGTTTCTAAGGCAGAGAAAGTTTTTTTTTTTTTGAAGATTGTATGAACTTTTTCTTTGGAAAAAGTTTAGAGCTTTGATGAATTGTGCTCAATTAAATGTTTTTATTAAGAATAAGGTCAACTTTGATTACATTTTATCTTTTATGCTTTGGTTAATTAATTTAAAACTGAGCCCTAAGTTCAAATAAACTGACTTCTTACATCTTTGAAAATTTCTAAGATATTTTTAAAATGATCTTATTAAAAACAAGATTTTTTATCATTTTAACAAAGTATAGAATTTTTATACTCTATAAAATAAATTACAATTATCTAATTCATTTAAATCTAAACCTATTATCTGTTACCTATAAACCTATTTTATTATATTAAAATAATTTAGATCTTTTATTTTTTTAGTTCATTCATTTTATTTTTTGAAATGAAAATATTTCAATATAAAAAAATTGAAATAAAAATAATTGCAATTTTAATAATTTTAAAATGCATTTAAATACATTTATTTTTAATTGTATTTTATTCTTTTCTTTCTATTCTTTTATTTTATTATTTTCAACAATCTAAACCTATTTTATTGTATTAAAATAAAATTTAGATATTTTATTTTTTGTTAATTCTTTTTATTATTCATTATCTTTTCATAAGTTTTTTTCTTATAAGAAAACAGTTGCAATTTTAATTATTTTAAAATGAATTCATATAAATAAAATATATACATTTTATTCTTTTTAAATCGTAACCTATTATCTTATATGAAAATGTTTGAAATCATATATTTTACAAGCTTTTTATTTATTTTATTTTATTTTTAGCAGTCTAAACAACTTTTTTTTTTTTTCTGTATAATTCAAGAAGTGATGCAATACACTGACAAGCAACACTAGCTCACTATCTATTCTGTGAGCTTTTGGATCAGTCAAGTGCAGCTTTGCAGGAAGATGGCACACATGACTCGTTGTAGTGACCCGATGACATGCGTAGTCTCTGCTTGTAACAGCTGTGTTGGGTTGGATGGACGTCTGACTGACAGCTTCCTGACTGAGGGACAGCTGTCCAACACAGCCTGAGCTATAGGTGACCTGCAGCGATGCATCTGATCTTTACTGGTGTCACATGATCTGTCTTCACAAAAACATTCATTTAATGCCTTTTGGTTTACTTGTCAATAATTATTGAGCTAAAGCAAGGCTTTTAAATGTACAGGCACCTTTAAAAGAAAATTAATACATGTTATGCATGTTAATACCAGTTGTAAACAGCAAGAACACTTGCTTTCCTTACAGTTTTGCTTCTATTTAATCCCTCGTTTTATCATTTTTCCACTTACTGGCCCCACCATGTTCAAGTTAGAGACATTACCAGACCAGAACACACTGGAGTTAATCTTATTTCCCACAATGCACTCTGTCCCATTGTCAGCTGCAGCCAGTGACAGTCACACGTCAGCAGATCTGCTCACTGTAAAAGCCGCTGTTTGTGAATGCAGTACACTTTGCTAGCCTTTTGACACTGCGGTTTGTGCCTGCTAGCCCTCCATTTCCCTGTGAACTCTAATCCACCCCAGTTTGTATTGATTCAGGCAGGGAATAACCCTAGATGTAACCCTAATGCTAGATGTAACATTGGACTAACCCTAAACTAATACATGTTTCACCCCAGAGGAGATGGCAGTCACAAAATAATAGATAGTTATTATATTGTGTTGTCCTCTACAAAATACAGCACTACTTTATTGTGATGTCCAAAGTGTTCATTTTCTGAATCATTCTGATATGAAACAGTCCAAATAAATAGTGATTTAGCATCTCATTCGGTCAGTCAGTTGGAGGGTTGACCTAAGGAATTACTTGTTCACTGAATCAATTACCAAGTGAAAAACTCATTCACTGAATTGTTTAGTGAAACATTAATATTTATATGTGCAAAAAGTAACTGTACTGTAAGAGAAATATAGTGTATATACAGGGCTCCAGACTGCGACCAAATGATCGCATTTGCGACCATTTTTTTCTGCCGGTGCGACTAATTTTTGTGAGCGGTCGCACTGGCGCGACCACCGCGTTGTCCAACTCATTAGCGCTGCCATTTCTGTTGCATTTGAGAAACATCAAACGGCAAACTAAACGAAAGCTAAACTAAACCGCGCTACGTTTCAGCTGCGCAGCGCGGACCGTTTATCTGCTCGGACCGCGACGCAAACAAACTTGTCCGAGCTCAGAACAGCTTTACTCAGGAGCCAAAGTTGATTTCGCGACACTGCTACTGCACAGATGCAACAGTGCTGCGAGATCCAGTGAGAAGCGTTTGAATTCGCCGCTCAATGATAAGGTTGCTGCGAGATCTAGTGAGAATCATTCAAATTCTGCACAGAATTCTCTGTTATAAACAGAGCTGACATACGTCAGGAAACCAGAAGCGGTAACGCTAAATGTAACTGTGGTGTTTTGGTAGAAATAGTCGAATGCATTACATCATTCATTTCAGGGTTTGTACAACCTTTTGAGAGAGAAATTCAAGCACTTTTCAATGGCTTTCAAGCATTTCACAGTACTATTTCCAGCACTTTAAATCTCTAAAATGATCCAGTTTGAATGTTATTTTTAATGGGATGACCAAAATATACTTTGTGGTAAACAAACACTTTTAACTCAAGCTTAGTGCTTTACTGTCAAATCTGTATAAACAATAAACAAAAGAAAAACAAGAAATTAACATGAACTATTATTAGTAACTGCACTTGCAAAACAATAGTAATTTTATAATGAAATGATCTATATTTTAATTCTCTCGCACACCACCCCCAGCGCTACCAAATCTGCTCCTGTCGCCACCATCTGTAACTTAGTGGCGCTGGTGCCACTGCTCTCAAATGAATTAAATTAATGATCTCAGAGTGTTACAGCTGTCACTGTAAAGGGATTGAATGCAGTTGTAACACTTGAAAAATGTTAACCCATTCTATCTTTAAAAAATAGCACATAAAAAAATAAGAACAACTTTAATGCTCATTACTGAATAGCTTTATCTGTTATGTGGTATTACTTGTTTTAGGTGATTTTGCTAATTTCTTCATATTATTTTAAATCAGGAATAATGGATTTAAAGTAAAAGTCTAAAGGTCTTTGCACAACGAGTCCGAAATCTCGTCCGAAATTTTCGCACGTTAAAAAAATAAATACGACCTCATGTTGTGTCAATCATGTTTACACACTGCCTTCGAAACTTTCGTCTGTCATAAAAAAATTTCGGATCAGGTTCGGTTTTCTGCGTTTTCGCATCCGTAGTAAGTATTTTGATAGGAAAGGATGACGAATATAAAAAAAAAACAAAAAAACGCATACGAAAATTTAAGACTCAGTGTGCAAGGACCTTAAGTGAGAGATTTAAGTATTATTTAAATTATATATATTATTTATTTAAGTATTATTTATTTAATCGTTTATTAAACGATTCACTGAATCGTTTAGTTTGGCAACAACTCATCCATTGAATTTTACTTTATTGTCATATTTTTTTATCTTGTATAAAAATAATTGCAGTTTTGAAATTATTTGTAGTTTAATTGTATCTAACCTATCATCTTAAAATAATTGTGATTATTAAAACAACATAAAAATATTAATAATTATTAAAATACTTTTTCTTACTTTCAATTAAATTTTAATTTCATAAAAATGAGATATTAACACATAATGGGCCCTATTTTAAGTGCAGGTGCACTTAGGGTGTGTCCAAATCCACTTTTGCTAGTTTAACGACTGGAAAAAACGGTCGGCGCGCCCGACGCATGGTCTAAAAGGGTTGTCCCTATTCTCTTAATGAGTAATGGGAGTGTTTTGGGCGTAACGTGCCATAAACCAATCAGAGTCTCATCTCACATTCCCTTTAAAAGCCAGTTGCGCTCCCGCCATGGCGGAATTTGCCAGTTGCGCTCGTGCCATGGCGGATTTGCTATTTACACGGCGGAATTTTCAAGCGCAAAGACAGAACGCGTCTCCAGATATGAAACGGAGCTGCTCGTGCGTGAGCAAATAGGTAGCCTGAGACATGCAATGACTATCCATTATGACATGTAGGCATTTTTATATTTATGTAGCCTACACAATAATAATCTTTTACATTGCAATCCTTTCATTTTTAATATTTGGCATGTTTGTGTGCTGCTGTGCGTCCATGTGTGTGTTTTTGTTGGTCAATGGCTCAGTCTATTTCAGTGGCCTCAAAATAGCAACGCGCCAGCAATGCGCCTGAACACACCTCATTTCAGACCAGCACGCCCATGGGCGCAAATACATTTGCTATTTAAACAACGTGGCGCAGGACGTGAAAATGACAACTGCGTCAGGCTGAAACTAGCAAAAAACACTTGCGTCACTCGGCTCGCGCCTGGCGCAGCATTGCGCCGGGTGTATAATAGGGCCCTTTATCTTAAATCAAAGCACACAAAAATAGATTATAGATTATTATTCACTGAATCATTTAGTGTGGTAACAACTCACCTAATGAATTATTTAGAGTATTTATTAAGGTAAAAGCTCACTTTAAATTGAATTGGCACACTGAGTCAACAACTTACCAAACTGCATATCAGTACACCCTGTGTTATGGTATTTTTGCTAAATTGTTTTAATAAATGTTATTTAGATTTTAAAAAATGACTTGTACCAGATGGTAGGTAGGTAGGTAGGTAGGTAGGTAGACAGACAGATAGATAGACAGACAGACAGACAGACAGACAGACAGATAGATAGAAATCGTGTTGGTTGTTGCCCTTAAGCTATTAGCAGAAAATGAGTTCACACCTCATCGTCATCTCTCCACCACAAACATACACACAGCAATGAAGCATGAGTAACTGTCTTTAACTACTAGTTATGCTAACTGCCAACTCACATCACTTAACCAACTGTTACTGTGAGTGAGAAAGTGGAGGAACGCTGTAAACTGCGTTTCATGCGTCTTTACTCACCGCTGCCCCCTGCTGGCAAACAAGCCGTTTTGAATAATGCACTGTGTGTATGTGTATGAATCTGCAGCATCAAGCATCCCAATCAGATATATGTGGTGACATGTTGTTGCCACAGTTGTGCTGCAAAAAAACACAAGGCGTATGTGTTAAAGTCAGTTATATTGATTTTATAAAATGGCCAAAAATATGATAAAACAGGAGTTTTCAAATGGGATCTATGTGCCACAAAAGGAATAGTTTTGTTTTTACTGTATTTTTAATCTAATAAATTTAACTTAGGTGAGTATAAGAGACTTTCAAAAACCTTTACAAAAATCTTTCAAAACACAAATGACAGTTTTGAAGAGTAGTTAGTGTTTTTAAAGGGGGTTTTAGAAAACTATATGGAAATATGGTTATAAATAAATGAATATTAATTAAGTGTAAATAAACCCCATTTGAAAAACATTTACTCAAATTTTATGTCGTTCTCAAATGGGCTCCATGTGGTCAAAGGGGAATCTACATAAAAATTTAAAAATAAAAGACATTTGTAAAACGTTACATATATCTAATATTTATTTTAATACAATTATTATTATACACATGTTTATTTACACATAATTTACATTCATTTATTTATAAATGTATTTGCATATAGTCAGGGTCGTAGCACCAAATGTCGGGCCCCAGTCACACAACCAAGGAGGTAGGCCCCTCACAATACAACGCCTCATCAATCATATTAATAATAATAATCAGTATATCATTTTGGGCCCCCACTCGCCAAGGGCCCCTGTTACTCAGTTCCACTATTACCCCCTGTCCGATGCCCCTGCATATAGTTTTCTTAGGCAAAAAAAAAGTTTTTTAAATGTAATGCTTTTGAAAAAATATGCCCACCAAGCCTGCATTTATTTAATCAAAATTACAGTAAAAACAGTAATGTTTTTTACTTCAATTTAAAACAATTGTTTTCTATTTGAATATATTTTAAAATGTAATTCATGTGATGGTAAAGCTGAATTTTCAGCATCATTACTCTAGTCCAGTAATCATTCTAATATGCTGGTCTGCTGCTCAAGAAACATTTATTCATTATCAATCATGCTCAGTCCTAACCAGGCAAGGCACAACAAAGTGACAACCGATAAATCCTTTCACTTCTAAGTTAATCGTAATATTTTTGGACTAAGCAGCAGCAACCGGCAAGACATTTGTGACATTTGCTTGCATGGTTTCTATATCCGGTCCAGAATTCTGCTTTAGCTGCATATTAACATCTAACATGTTGGCGGTGATTTAGTCATTTTCTGCACTTTTAGCGAGGACAGCAAAATGATTTAATGCTGGAATTCATTGTGACTGTTTAGGACACTGTGATAATCTTAATAGCCATTAGTAGAATCCTTTAAAAGCATTATGCTAATGGAAATTGTGTTTTTCTGATGTAAATAGCTGTATAGACTCCTGGTTTGAGATCAACCGCTCCTGCCCTGAACATCCTTCAGACTGACCTCCATCATCTACTTCTGCTACCACTGAGAAAGGTGAACACCTTCACACAAATATTCACCTACATGCCAACATGTGTCTCAATAATCTGATATTTGTCAGTCATTTTGTATTGGAATGTTTGACTTTGACTTTATCAAACAGTAATTAGCAGCATCTCATTACTTTAGTGCACCATTTTTAAATAGACTATAAAAAGCCATTTCCAGAGTAGCAAAACAGTTTTTTGTTTTTTTTGACAGGTTTTATACGTGCCTTTACACTTGTCAGGGGCATTTTTAGACATGTAGTAAATGTGAAAGTACCACCTTTATAAATAACATTGTGGTCACAAAGCTCTAGAACTCAGACAATTTTTGTTGTTGTTGTTGTTATTATTATTATTATTATTAATTTTATGCACACAAAAAAAAACAAAAAAACTTTTTTTCACACTTAAGTCCTCTAAAAAAATCCATGTCTTCGAAGGTCTAGAACTCAGGCCACTTCAATAGCATATTATTATTAATGTTATTATTGTTAAAATATCACAATTAACAGTAATAATATGCAAATGCAAGTTTTTACACTTGTGTCCTTTCACAAAAATTCAACTTTCACAAACATCTAGAACTCAGACAACTCTCCTATTATTATTATTATTGTTAACAATAATACTTAAAGGGACAGTTCACCCAAAAATGAAAATATTGTCATTAATGTCTCATGAACACAAATTAAGATATTTTTGATGAAATCTGAGAGTTTTCTGACCCTGCATAGACAGCAACGCAACTGACACTTTTAAGGCCCAGAAAGGTAGTACGGACATCATTAAAACAGTTCATGTGACATCAGTGGGTCAACCGTAATTTTACTTTTTTGTGCGCAAAGAAAACAAAAATTGTTGAATAAAGTTATTTTTTGTTTTCTTTGCACACAAAAAGTATTCTCGTAGCTTCATAAAATTACGATTGAACCACTGATGTCACATGGACTATTTTAACGATGTCCTTGCTACCTTTCTAGGCCTTAAACACGTCAGTTGCATTGCTGTCTATGCAGGGTCAGAAAGCTCTCGGATTTCATCTTAAATATCTTAATTTGTGTTCTGAAGATGAACGAAGGTCTTATGGGTTTGAAACGACATGAGGGTGAGTAAACAGAATTTTCATTTTTGGGTGAACTATCTCTTTAAGTAATCAAGTTATTTATTTATTAGTAGTAGTAGTAGTAGTAAGTTGGATATTGCATATATAATATATAACACTATATAGTTATTATTTTTATTTTTTTTCTGTAATTTACTGATTGGTCCAGTATTGAAAAGCAATCTGGTTAAAGCTTTACATTTGAGTTTCTATGTTTAAATGTGCGTTATACTTCACCCACACCACTGACTTAAAGCAAAACATTCTCAGACTACCTTCTGAGACCCTTGACATAAACCAAGTGTGAAAACACCCACAGGCTTCTTATAACTAATATTTCTTCGTTGTCTCTTTTCCGCTCACTTCAGGGCACTTTATAGACCTGAAAAAAAAATCACATTTACAAAGATCTAGACTACCACTCTACTAGTGTGTTATTTTTTTTCTGTAGTGTCTTCATTGACATGGTATTGAAAGGTGGTAAAGGCTTCAAACTTAAACCTTAAACATGCTTGTGTTTCTATGTATAAATGCACTTTATATGTCACCCACACAGCTGACTTACAGCAAACCACGCTTAGACCACCTCCCGAGACTCCTGACATATACCAAGTGTGAAAACACCCTCGGGCTCAGTATGACTCTCATATTCCATCTTTGTCTCTTTTTCTCTCACTGTAGGGCACTTTATGGACCTAAACCTGGCACAAAAATAACCAAATAAATCAATCTACCAACCAATTCGATCGAAACCTACAGAAACGGAAATGTGTCATCGCAAAACTGAACCACATAAAAGCGTTCATCCAGCCAACACCATCATTACCACTTGCAGAATCCCAGAATCTCCTGCCCGCTGTGCTAGAGACTGCTAAACTGCTAACCGGCCCCTTCACGGCAAAACCACCAACACCGGATCTCTGGTTTTGGAAAACGTCTCGCTTTCTTGCCCCCTCTACATACTCTGTGTTCTTATCGGCGTGAGTGTTCAGTCTGCATTCTGACCCTGTCCTCTCTCCTTGTGTATGTAATCAGACAGAAGGAGATGGGAAAGAGGGGGCGGGGCAACACGAGGGGCGGGGTGACAGAAGGGGTGGGGCATATGCGGAAAATAAGTAGGAAGTAGACCACGCTTTGCAAACTGATCCAGAGGCCATACCTGTCCTGTCAAACGATGCTGATTATAGGGGTGTGGCAGGGGGTGGGGTTTCACACCTGGTTCGTGGGAGGAGTTTTGTGTGCGCGGTTCACTCGTTAGTGATGTGTTGGACAGCCGGTGGACGTAGATTTACTTATTCTGTGTGTGCATGTGTGTGATCATGTATCCACAGGCAGGGAAATGTGTAAATTGTGTTTCCTGTTAGTGCCAGAGGAAGTCCAAGACATCAGCATGTGTGTTGGGATGGGGGTTTACGGTCATAAACGGAGAGAAAGATACACTCTCGGTCTGTCTTCAAATGTTTACAATTCACGATAGATGTCTTTCCCCTACGGATTCTGAAACGATAAGAAGCTCAAAGCTATTTTCCTAGTTTCATCTGCAATTTTTTTGGGCAGTTATTATGAAGCGCTGACCATAATATTCGGACAATTTCCCTGTAAAAGCCTTGAGTACGTATTCAGTATGTGTGTATGTGTGTGTGATTTCGGCTTCTGTCCATCCTCCCATGTTTTCTGTATGTTGCTTCACTACTGTATGTAAAGCCCAGATATACTGGTGTGAATCTATTACAAGATCATTTCTATGATCTGCATTTACTTTTTATTTTTGAACAATCTGTGAGAAACCTCACAAGAAATCTATTTAACCTTCAGGATGCCTCTGTCTACTGTATAAACAGCAAGCACTGTTAGAAAATAATGTTGCTGAAATTGTAAAAATTTTAAAAAGTCAAAACAAATAAAAAAAAAAGAAAAAAAAAAGAAAAGGTAAAATGAAAAAGGTAGAAAAAAATAACCGCAAGAAAATATTTGACAACCTATTACTTTTTGTGTTGGATAGAAATAGAGCATTTCTGAGTTTTTTCTGCTTTGTGCCTGTAAATGAGGGCATACAAACACCATCCATCAAAACAATGGATAACAATTTCGCCTCACCGTGTAAAACAAATCAAACAAATAATAAAAACAGAGTCAGGTAGCGTAGTACTATCTTGTGCAGCATGGGCTGCGGAAAGTGACTCGCCACTCTCGAAACCCATCCTTTTCTTATTTTTGTATGTTTTTCTTTTCTTTTTTTTTCCAGGGACATGAACGGATGCCTGTTTTTAGGAGGTACAAACTAAGTGTCTGATGATTTTGATGTGCAATCTGTGGGACGAGTAATAATGATGATGATCATACATATAATTAAAACAAGATGAAATAAGATCAGATGTTGCTTTCTTTTATTAAGTCCACTACAAATACACAAAAAGGGTCAAATAAATTAAAAAACAATCACTCAAGAAAGAACAAGAGACATTATTTTCAGTTTATTAAAATGTATTTTCTGCATCACATTTAGCTTGTTTTGAGTTCAGCTTCACAGCTTCTGTTTTTAGAAGCAAATATATCCATATAAATAAATATATTCACAGAAATGTACTAACTAAACTAAACAAATTTGTTAAGGCACAATGATTTCACATTCATTCATAATTCAAAGTGGTGTGAGATTGCCATGAAAAGAAGCAAAATAAAAGGACGGAATAATTCTTTTTCAAGGCTCTGAGAAAATTCAGCCCTGTACATTAATACTGTGCATTCACAATAATACTACATAACAAATAAATTACCCTTTAATATTCACACAAGGAGCTTAAATCATATGCACTTTTCACAACAATTGTGTTTTGCATGTGCAGATTATTTTATAATCACTCAAGTCTAAACTATTATCATTCTTAAAATCTAAAACAAACCTCATTCTCCTGACATCTAGTGGTCAGAAAGCCTAGTGCAGAGTATCTTCTATAGTGTTCTGTGTTGGTTTGCATTAATTATAACACCTTTCCAGGATTCATGAGGTTTTTGGGGTCCAGGGTGGCCTTGAGGCCCTGCATGACCTCTATGGCCAATGGACCGACCTCTTCTCTGAGCAGGGCCCGCTTTCCTAGACCGATCCCGTGTTCACCAGTACAAGTTCCATCCATCGCCAGTGCCCTCCTGCATGGGGAAAGGCAACAAGAGAATGAATTCATCCACTGTAATTGTTACTGGCAATAAATAGGGTAAACCAAGTAACATATCTGGCTATCTTGATCAATTAAGAAGCTTGGAATCACTAGATCTGGCATTGTTGCCCCAAAAGACCTCAGTGTGGCTGGCAGACTGGAAGAACAATTTTAGCAGCCTGCAACCACTGAAAGACCAAAGTTTCCTCAGGAAGTAGAATCTGTGCAACTGAGCTGTCTGTCCAGTCCAATTCATATTCCCAGGTGTTTCCACCTCCACATTCTCCAACTGAATGATGAAGACTCCCTGGCGCAGCAGAAATCCAACTCCTACTCATCTTGTTCATGCAGGTTCCCACTGTTCGACATGACACAGTACACCTTGTATACTCGAACCACAATTTTTGCTGCAATAGGACAAGTCTGAATTATTTTTGAGCTTTATTAAGGCTGGAATATGCGTTGTGATAAGTTGGAACATGCCATTTTTGCCCAGATTTGCAGTCTGGAAGAACTGATGCTAGTTGCTGAAAGTCAGAGCCAGTCTGTAGACACTGGGCAGTTGGGAGTTGACAGATTTGAGAGGAAACTGCATAGTTTATGATCAGTGTTGGGGAAAGTTACTTTTAAGAGTAATGCATTACAATATTGTGTTACTCCTTGAAAAGTAACTAATTGTGTTACTTAGTTACTTTTTATGGAAAGTAACAGATTACTGTACATTACTTTTGCATAACAAAAGCCAAAAGTTATATTTTTGGCAACTGTAAGGGCCCTTTCACACCAAAAGTGAAATGAATAAGTCTCAGGCTGAAGGAAGTACCTCAGCCTCTGCACCTCACTTCCAGTTTCTCCCAACACGGGGACAGGAGAGATGTCAGTGAATAAATCAGAAAACAGTATTTAAAAAAGTATATTTAATTGAAAGTAATGTATTAGTTTACTAGTTACTTGAAATAAGTAATCTGATTACATAACTAGCAGTACTTATAATGCGTTACCCTCAATGCTGTTTATGATGGGCAGTGCACAGGCTCCGATTTTTTTTTTATAGGAAATCAAACATGATTAATCTTTTGATAAGATTTTTTTTATTTTAAAAGACATTGTTTTTCATTGAGTTTCTTGTGTTCGGAACGATTTTAAAGTCCTCAGTCGTTTAGTGTACAATGCCCAGTTTCCAGCCTTTACTTGAACCCAGCACTTTCCTTTAACAGGCAGAATGGTATTGAAGTTGAATTGATTGAACAGGTTCATCTAACTTGGCCTGGTCAAGTTCCTGTATACTTCCAGGTAGCGTGCCTGAAATCAATTTGTTCTGCTTAAAGGGATAGTTCACCCAAAAATGAAAATTCTGTCATTAATTACTCACCCTCATGTTGTTTCAAACCCGTAAGACCTTCGTTCATCTTCGGAACACAAATTAAGATATTTTTGATGGAATCTGAGAGCTCTCTGACCCTGCATAGACAGCAACGCAACTGAAATGTTCCCAAGTCCAGAAACGTAGCAAGGAGATCTGTAAAATAATCCATGTGACATCAGGGGTTCAACCGTAATTATACGAAGCTACGAGAATAATTTTTGTGCGCAAAAGACAAAAAAAAACGACTTTATTCAACAATTCGTCTCCTCCGCATCGACATAATGACAGAATTTTCATTTTTGGGTGAACTAACCCTTTAAGTTTCCACACAAGTTCAACTCAATAACATTTCTTCTTTCGGAGTATTCACTTCAGTGTGCAAACACTCCTTTGGCAGTTAATATAGCTATAGTTTTTGCAAACTTGTGCTTTTACAGTTACATCATGTCTGTCATTCACTAAAAGGGCAAGTCCAACTCCATTTGCTCCTATCAGGAAGAACTCTTGTGTATCAAGTCAGCCAGGTTTCATTGAAGCAAATGAGACTGCAGCGTTTGTCTTCTCTTTGGCTGCTGGTCAGCGCCGATCATTCGTCCATTGTATCCGACAGAGACTGCACTTTACCCGTAATGACTGTAGGCAAGTAGGACTTTTATTATTTGTGCTCGTTTCCAAAGCCAGACACTAGACCCTCTATGTCTGTCATTGTCAACAAACGCTCTCCAAATGGCAGAAGACACTTTGAGAAATAATCCTGGTATTGATTGCTACACAAAACAAAACTGACAATGTACACAAAAGCTGCAGCCAGTCCCTCTCAGCCGCCTCAGAAGATCATTGTAAGGGAGCAAAACTGCTGAAAGGAATTAAATAGAAGTACCTGGCTAGTCTCTCAGTGAAGGAGTGAACCCTTTGCACTTCGTCTGGGTCATTGGGATCCAGTACTATTAAACAATGGAAGTTTCCATCGCCCACATGACCTGCAATAGGACCTACAGTAGGAAAAATGTAAACATATTTTATCAGCAGTTAAAAGCAGTTCTCAACACTAATGAGAAAATCTAACTTGGTAAACTACCGGTAATATTGTTTCTGATTAGATCTTCCTTTGTCTCCACTATAATCTGAGGCAGTCGTGAAATTGGCACACAGACATCGGTAGAATATGCCTGTAAGAAAATAGGTACATTTTTGTAAAGTGTTGAGTTCTGAATATGTTCTACTTTACTAACATAATATTCATAAAAAGCTATTTGTAGGCTGTTTACTCTAAATAGTTTATAACTGTCTGTGTGGTGCTTTCATAACATTGCTCTGTTTGCTTGTGCATTCTGACCAGCCCAGCATAGCAACAGGTTCAGCCAATGGTGTGAGTTTGGGGCGGGGCTATTGGTTTTGCTGACCTATGGCAGAATGTTTGGGAAACCTGTTTGAAACAGTCATGAATGATTTTTAAGCAAATAAATACTGTATGAACAGACTGACTGGAATAAGAAATAAAAATATTATTTATATTATAATTATAATTATATTATTTTAGTAAATTATAATATAGTTATTATTATATAACTTTTAGTACATTTTTGCTAATTAGATCTTCTTTAGTCTTCACTGTAATATGAGGTAATTGAGATCACTCAAATATGTAAAATATGCCTGGAAAATGTGTGTAATTTTCTTATGTTAAAAAACCCTTGTCCTATTACAAATTTAAATTAATTCACAACTATAATTAAGCAATTTGTTGGCTAGTTTTCCTTAATAAAAATGTGTTTTGTGGTGCTATCAAAACATTACTGTTTGTTTGAGCATTCCAACCAGCCTAGCACAGCAACAGTGGCTAAACCAGGGCGGTCCAAACTCGGTCCTGGAGGGCCGGTGTCCTGCAGAGTTTAGCTCCAACCCCTGGGCTAAACCAATGGCTATCTGTTTGGTTGACCGATGGAAGTGTTTCGGAAACCTCTTTGATAACAGTCATTCCTTTTACACTGCACTATGCACGACAGCACAAAAATTAAGCTCAAAAGCATAATTATAATTGCATCAAGATAATAAAAAGCCTGCAAAGTGTATATTCTAAGTTACAAGAAGATAAATTGCACTTGTCTGAGTCAGAATCACGTTGCAGTGAATGTTCCCACCTTACATCCAGGCCTCAGGGCCAGGGCTGCGTACCACGCATCATGACGGGCTTTCCATAACCGGCCACGAGTCTCCTCATCTTCTGCCCAGGCGAAGTCTGAGCCTCCGTTATCCCGCGTGATCTCCTCTGAACACACAGAACGTGAAGCTTTCCAGATGACACGTTCTTTCACATCTATTGTTTTGCTTTTGTAAAATACTGTTTCTGTAGAAATTTG